CTAATCTCTTGGAATCTTGTCCCCCTTTGAACATAGGCAATGACACTATTGTCCAACCCCCAAACGTCAAGTATCTTGGTGTGTTAATAAACCGAAACGTAGGTTGGGCTGACCAAGTTGTCTCTGTATTTGTAAGGGTCAGAAAACTTTCATTTTATGTCTTACGAGTGAAAAAATTATCCGTCCCTCGCTTCTTGGTTAAACGTTTTCCTTTTGCCTGTATTTTACCCCTATGGTTGTATGGGTCCCTAGTAATCTTTCCAGGGATTCTCAAAAAAGACTTTAAACTGCTTTCCAGATCATTGACACATTTATCAAGAAGTAGTGGGATTTCCCGTGAAACTATCTGTCACTTCATCATTTCCCAACATACAAAGTGATGTTTTTCGTTATCAACAAAAATCATGGATAACCCTTCACATCCATTACATCAAGATCTTATCAAGTGTGTTTCCTCCTCGTCCACCCGGTCCCGTTATTAGCGTATATTTGCTCGTACGACCGCTTATCGGTCTTGTGTGGTGCCCTATCTTGCCCGTTTTCTTGTCAGCGCAGAAAGCATTGCTTCGCACCTTTAGTCAGTTAACTCGTAAATTGTTTTCATTTTCACTGCTCACGATAATTATGTAATAATTTTGTTCGATAATTGTTAGATGACCATGTGACTGCTGAATATCCACCTTTCGGAGTGCATAAAGCAAATAGCTAACTTGACTTGAAAGGCTCTCGCCATATCCCGCAGGGCCTCTATGACAGCATAGCGGGACTGTGGGTATATCTGCGCGCACGTACAGTGCCACTCCTCCGCCGCCTCTGGTACATCTATCGACGCGGTAGAGGGTGTACCCTGCGTTAGCCACCTCCGTGTCTGAAACATCATCCGTGAGCCACGTTTCTGTCAGCGTCACAATCGTCGGTGCCTTGCGTGATACGAAGGACTCTGGGTCGTCTCGCTTGTTCAGCAGTCCTCTTACGTTGGCCAACAGTGTGTAGACCTGTCGGCATTGCTCAACTTTCACTGCAGGACCCCTCGCTGAGACGTCCCCAGGGGAATCCAATCCAGCTGGAGCCTTCGTTTTAGAACCCAAAAATCCCGAATGTAGAGGTTACTCTGCCCACTAGCCCTACGCTCGTGTAACTCACTTCGAGCTGCCTTCAGCTTTTCTCTATCTTCCGATTCCAGTTCAGTTCAGTTCAGTTGCACAGGACGAATATGGC